TTGTCGCTTTCCACCAGTAAGAGGAACAGACTCAAACTTGAGGGAATATTTGGATCCAAAGTGATTATTTTAGCTGAGTTGAGGTTCCAGAACAAATCAAAAGTTAAGGAAATGTAAGCACACCACTTTTGTATTAACTCATCTTTAGAAGACATGCAATGTTTTAGTGATGTCCACAGAATGCAAGGCCTGCAGCGCTGAATCATTACCTTTGAAATGAAATGGTTCTTGAGTGAAAGACATTATTATTATTTGCACTGCTGCACAATAGATACCTGCAGTCTGTTTACATTTATACTGCATCTTATAGTTTATTGTCCTTGTTTACTAAATATTTACAAGCCAAAATGATAGGACATATGTTCCACAGATGCACATTACAGAAATCATCAATTCTTTACCTCTCTTAGCATCATCTGTGCTTCATAAACTTGAGGAAACTGATTCCTTTTTTTATCTTAACATCATCCACACTTTGAAAACAACATGTTTGTTAACTTGCTGCCAAATATTTATATTCCAAGGAAATATTTCACAGGCTATCATGAGTGGCTGTCAAAGAGTATTGCTATCAAAGAAACAATATGCTCTCCATCCCAACCCATTATTGCACAGAGAGAGGGCTTCACCCTGCAACTTACTGTTTGTTTCATCTCATTGTGAAGGTTCTGTATGCACTCTGCTTATCACAGCTTTTAACAAGAGGACAGCCAGCACCACGCTCTGTCACCGCCTTTGATGGTTTCACATGAAGTGGCAAAGTCCTTCTCTAAACAGCTGGGACATTTCAGACAGTGCCTCCTAGTCCCTGAGGAGGTCATTATAATAAAGATGAACAGCTTGAAGACACTGTAAGACGGACAGCAGAGTGACAGCAGGGGAGGACAGGACACAATGTGGAGGAAAAATATAAATTGGAGTGTGCTGGTTTGGAAGAGATCAGCCCTGTGTTAAAGAAACTTGACAGTTTGGGATTTTGGTTGTATTAGCAATTCACCACTTGAACAAATATGAACAGAATATTTCCTAGAAAATTGTAACCTATAAAATGGAATTTCCAGTAAATCAACTTATTTCTATTTGAAGTATTAACGTGTATATTGTACATACAGTACTGCACACAAGTCTTAGGCCACCATTAGTTTTGCTTTTTAGCAAAAAGTTATAATGATAATTATGTGTTTCTCAGTCTCTTTATTGAAATATAATCAGAAAATACAGGAAACAAAATTTTCAGCATAAAATGGCTTTTACAGTCCAAAGTCATTATTTAGTGTGACCTCCCTTTGCACTTAGCACAGCTTGAATTCTCTTGGGAAGACTGTATTGAAGTCTTGAAACCATAACAGACCCTCCACCATTGTTCACTGAAGGCTGTGAGCATTCATTGTGCATCACATAGTGTTGACAGTTGGACCTGAACATTTCAAACTTTGATTCATCACTCCATCGCACTCTTTTCCACTGATCTTCAGTCCTTTTCTTCAGCCTTTTCTTATTGTGCCCTTCTGAAAAGCGGTTCCTTGGCTGCTGTCCTTCCACAAAGGCTGTTCCCGATCAAGCTCCTTCAGACTGTGGAAAGATCAGTTTATGGATGATGGGTTTTTCGTGAATGCCTGTCAGCACCAACAGTTGTGAATGCACGCAAAACACACTGCAACAAGTTCAGTTTGCAAATCATAATTTGAGAGCATACAGGCACAGATTTGTAAGAGCAGAATCTGTGCCTGTGTGCTCAAAAAATTGTGACTTGCAAACTGAATAGTGCTCAAAACAGATTTATTTATTTACTGTATATAACTGATATTTGACCAAGGGAATCCCGCTGAGGTTAGAAACCTCTAATTCAATAGAGGTAGTGGGTCAACATAGAGGACTGACAAGCTTCCAGTTTTATTATTTAGGTGTGAGGAATTGAAATTAGCTCACTGGTAAACAAGGTTCCAAACCAGCAATTTTGGCTTACAAGTAAAATTATATTAAAATACAAGTGTAAAAACAGTGCAGATAGTGCAATAGGGTCAAAAACTAAATAAAAAAGACGAAAAAGAGAGATGAAATAATTTAGGGATTCCCATGCAGTGAGCTCATTTAAATTGTGAGGTCAGACAGGAATTTCAAGTTTCAAGGCACTTAAGATGTTAAATATTCATTCTTTAATCTAAGACTTGCTCACTTTTCGCATTTTATTAGACTTTGGGCAGCCTTCTCAAGGGAAGCCTCTGGTAAGAATATCAGAGACACATTAATGCTTGAAATATTCCTGATTTTGTCAAATGCAGCTCCTAGCAGTTTGAGCCACTGCAAAGGACAAATACAACGTTATGTTTCCTCAAGGGGGCATTACATTTTAAATGCACTCATTTATCAGTTGAATTGTAATTGCTATTTGTTGTTGGGTTTCTTTTATAATTTCAGCACTTACATGTTCAGGTCAAGCAGCTCACTCTTATTCTACTTGTCCCAGTGCTCTCATTATCAGCAAAGAACAACAAAGTTTTTAGTCCCTTTAAACATATTACAGCTCATCATTCTGCTTTTACTGCTTTTATTTACTTCATATTTTCCTACAACTTGTTCTTTTCCTTACATGACCTGATGAAACCCATTAATATGCAGCTATGTGGGTCTTCACCCTCTCTTGTTAGGGCCTGGTTTCTCACAGTTTATGCATGTATGAGACTTTATTTTTAGATGAGTTTGGTTGAAGTGGAGTCACAGTAAACCATGCAGTAAAACCTGAACCTGAAGACAAAGAGGTGTTGCACGTACTTTCTCTGGGCCTTAACCTACTAAAATACAAAAACATTACTTGTGACTTTTAACAACATTTGAACAGGTGGAATTTTATTAAGAATGCTCATCCCCCTGACACCGGATGTCTGTGAGTTTTCAGTTTGATCTAATGTTTTCAGTTTGTGCGTGTTATGGCTCCCTGTAACATCATGAGCCACCTCCCAGGCTCCTGTCCTCAGGGTGGCTGCTGGCAAGTCCAGTCCAGTGGAAACAGCACAGGTGACTGAGCTGTGACAGAGCATTTGGGAAAGCTCTGCCTGAGGAGGTTTGACTGGCAACAGCTGTGTTATCTCTCTTTAATTTACCACAAAATGCTATCGTTTTATTAGAAACTATCAATCTAGAGGCAAAGGTTTGACTTTATTTCATACACCTGAAAGAGTATCCTAATACTTGCCACCCTAACAGTCTGATGGCTCCCGTGTTCCATCCTGGGTGCCCTGGCCTGCAGTGATGTGGAACTGACCGAGGCTGCAGGGATCTGGAGGTGGAAGATGAGTCTGGAGCCACAGTCGGGCTACTTGATAGTGTTATGCCTCCATTTTACCATTTCAGAACTGCTCCAGGATGTTGACTGCTTTCTGTGTATGAGCAGTAGATTGTTCAGATAGAAGCCTGATTAGACAGACAGGAAAAAGACAGGGACAAGCAGCCTTGTTTTAGCAGGAAATTGCAGAGTTGTTGACGGCTGTTTAAACAAACAAAACAAAATAATAATAATAAAACAACAACAAAAAGCTCATATATGGAGATAAGCAAAAGCAATAATTGAATATTGAAGGTGTCTGTGGGTGGGCTGTGTGTTAAGTGATTGTGTATTTGCTTGTAACTTATGAAGACAACTGACGCGCTGTCTGTGTTTGGGCAGTTTGTGGGCGAGATTTGCTCTGTTAAAATCTCCTAGAACAGTGAGAGGATAGTCAGGATGTTCCAGTTCCAGCCTAGTTATCTGGTCAGCCAGGTGCTGTAGCGTGATAATGTGGGCTCGTGGTCTTATATACACTCTGACCACAATGAACGACTAAAATTCTCTGGGAGAATAAAATGGTTTGCAGTTGATGAACGTAGTCTCTAAGTCTGTGTTGCAAGTTTTTTCCATATGTCAAAGTGTCCATGAGCAAGACACTCAACCTCCCAGTAATATCACCAGTGTGTGAATGTGTGAGTGCTTGGGAGTGCTAATGGATGAATGGGCAAACACTGTGAAAGGGCTTTGAGTGTGTTATAAGGCAAAGAAAAGTGCTATACAAGTATAAGACCATTTACCAAAATGGACTACATGACTCTATGCTTCTTCTTTAGTGTAATTTAAAGTGCTATTAAAAAAAATAACATGACGAGCCTATAGTGGCTATGTTGCTTTAAGTTAACGCTGTTTATGATATTGCACACATGAGGGCCATATGCGAAAAACACACAGCTGTGTTGCATTTGGGTTGGGTTCAGACATGAAATACTGTACAGTATACCTGTCAGGTTTGGGGCCTGGTTCAGCCACCACACCCTAGGGCTCATTAAGGGTTCGGACAGAAATATACGATCCAATCCATACTCTACAACACACAAACCCGAAGCATGCAGCAACACTATGGTTCCCCTACCAGGACCCCATTAGACCAAAGGTGATTTAAGCCATGTCTTAGTTAGTGAAAACAGAGTGGATCAGTGATGAACTCTGCTTTAAAGAACATGGTCTTTGAATGAGATAATGCTTGTGCCGAACATTGTGTACATGTCCATTAGTGGCCTAGAAATATCCATCTCAGTATTCTTTGTATATCCAGAGGTAGTCACTTAGGTTTTCTTTAATGACCAGGCTATCAGAGTCAGTGGAAGCTGTTCTCAGCACTGTTTACACCTAGCACCAAATATTTTTAAAACAGCCATTAGAGGACAGAAGGCAAAATTCATAAATGCAGAGTTTGCAAGATGACTAAACTAATAAAGCACTGAATGCATTCACAACCTGTAGTTTTGCATTTATAAAATAAAATCTTGTTATATTCTCCATTCTCATGCTGTCCTCACATTCAGTATATAATAGACCAGACAGTGTATGACTGAAATTACATGAAACAGTAACAGTAATGTAACAGCTTCCTCATCTTTATATACATATTTTATTGTACTGAGAACTTCAATAGCTATTAAAATCAATTTAAAAAACATTTTCACAGATCTTTTTGTTTTTTCTTTTTGGACAGAATGACTGATCCCTGAATATCTGCACACCTTTTTGAGTAAGTGCATTCTGCATGTTGCTGATATGGAGAGAAGCCCTTATCTGGATAACCTGCAGAGCTGGCCTGAGGGGGTAAGAATAAAGAAAAACATCTCTGATTTCCACATACAGTAGATCCCTTGTGTGAGAATAGAATAAGCATGGTGAAAAGCTCTTCCCCTATGGTTTTGATTACATTCTGTAATTTCTCATTACAGGGTGGAAACACTGGTGCTTTTCAAATTTCTGTCTTGCTTATACTTCGAGACCAGATTGACACCTTCCAACTGTACAACTCATGAATTCACACATTAAATATGCATTAAGTGAACTCCATCATATAACAGAAATGTACCTGATAAATGGACTACTCCTAATTAACAAATGTTTAACTTTACACTGCAAGCAATCCTGTAAGTGTGCCCTCAAACTCAGACTAGAGCCAGACTGCCAGTGTAGCCTGATCTCTCTGTGCCTCTCTATGCTGACAAAATAATATACCCTAGCATTGTATACTGAAGTGAATTTATTCATCCAAAACACCTGGAAACTGTCATTTTCAATAGATTTTCTCTCAGAAACTATTTTTGCCAACAGAAATAGCATCAACAGAAACTTAATTCAGTCATTTAAAGCAGTGACCCCATGTTGGCATCTTTGGGCTACTCTATTTAACCAAAAAACCTAACCCAGCCTACCTGGCACTGCCTCCCACAGACCCTCAGCGTGGCAGTAATGCTAGACAGAATAAATGGCAGAAGCCTTGGGGTGGGGGTGGGGGGTGGGGCTTCATGGATGA